CAGCGCGCGTGCCAGTGCCGGCTCAGCGCGCGTGCCAGTGCCGGCTCAGCGCGCGTGCCAGTGCCGGCTCAGCGCGCGTGCCAGTGCCGGCTCAGTGCGCGCCAGAGACCACGGTGTGACGAGCGCCATTTTAAGAGCTACCTGCACGCCACAGAAAGGCAAGGGTGCTGGGCAAAGCGTTGGTGAGTGAGCGGCATACAGTCCCAGAGTGGCAGAGCTTCTACTCCAACCAACTTTCTCTGCTGTGGTTGCTCACTGCTGTCATACAATGACGGTCCCTCTGCCTGCCTGCCTCTCTCACCTCCCAGCATGCGGCCAAACCACGGCCCTGCCTGGACTCTGGGTCAGCATCTGAGGGCTCTTAATGGCCATCGACTGTTCCCGGCTCCTCTGAATGCTCCACTTTGCCTCTCTGTGTGAAACGGCTGCGGCGTTTACTAGAAATGTCCGTCTGACTTGACTCGGCTAAGTACTCAACTGTGCTCTACCCGGCCTCCGCACGCTGGCGGCCGCATGAAATCGAACGCCGCCTGTGTCACTTTTTTCCTTCAGAGAAACATCTCTCATCTTCCTAATGAGCTTCCCATACAGAACAACCCTTTGGCAGGAAAGATAACCCAGGTGTCCCTGACGAGCACGGAGCACCAGGAACTATTCCAAAGAACAACAGACAAATGAAGCAGCCTGTGGCCGCTATTGGCATAGGGCCATGGGCCCTGACACACTAATTCACAAGCATGTGGAACACCGACTCCACAAGCGTGTACCAGGGAATGTCACAGGTTCCTTTTGCAGTTTGGTTCTAGATACAGCCAGTTACTTTTCCTCAGATAACAGGACACTGCTGCGGCGGAAGAACCGGTACCATGCTACCCTACAAGTGGCACGCCCAGAGCACACGCCAGCGCGAGCAGGACACAGCAAAGCACCATAAATAAACCTCATTTGCAGATTATGACGGGAATACTCGCAGCAGCTGAATATAATTAAGGGAGGCGGAGGGGGGGTTCACGTCTGCCTGCTGCTTACACGCCTTGTAAAAACATGCCGTGAGAAGAGTCTACTGCTTGGGGCTGGGCCACCTGGTTGGAAAAGACAGCAGGTGGTGTAGAGGTGCTGGACTCAAAGGAGCAGGGCTGATGATAGTGTAAGGTTGTAGGTTTAAGTCCCAGGAGGTGCCCCGGGCTGGGAAATACACAGCAGCGCCCAGCAGGGGGCAGACGCTCGCTCAGCAGTCAGCCACACTATGGAAACCAACTGCTGACATACTGCCTTAGCAGAAACACAAGGCAGAAAAAAACAGTGTTGTGCATGTCCCTGTTCCAGTGTTCTGTGGCGTTACCCCAGGGCCCGGCTGTTCCAGTAAGAGGAGCAGGCAGGCAGTGTTGTTGATCGGCTCGGTGGGTGGTGGTGGTGGGGGGGGGGGGGGGGTTCATTTCCTGTAAGCCAACGGCCAGCAGCACTCGTGTTTTCTTAGGGTTGTGTCGGGCTGGAAGGAATGCTGAGCCCCTGACGGGGCTGGACGAGCTCCAGGGACAGAGGGAGATGGAGAGCTGGCCTCGGGAAGCTGAGGAGGGGGCTCAGGGGGGTGTAATGCAAAGTGGGTAATGAAGGACAGCAGGATGGAGGGACTGGCACATAGAGTTCCCTGCTATTGTTGGGGAAGAGGACGCACAGAACTGGCTATAGCCAGGCCAGGCACACGTCCCGGGAAGCACTGCTGGGAAGACCCCCCTGGGAGACGGGGGGAGACGAAGTATGCATCACTATATGAGTGGGTATCAGTTGGGGGACTAGTTTCACACTGCGGCTACACCATCAAAATTAAAACAATCAATTGCTACATGCAACGGGGCTGTCGGAGACCATGCGCTAGACTTACCCTTGGCATGGAAGGTCCAGTCCTGACGGTGGTACTCCTTCAGCCGGACCCTGTGCTGCTGGCCCCTCTGGCACACCTGGTTGTAGAACTGGTGCGCCAGGTGGACGTAGGCTGCAGGGATGGCACCGGCCACACCCTTGGCCCCGAAGAAGCCATTGACCTCGGGCGACGCCATGAGGATGTGGTAGTCGGCATGGGTGGCCAGCACCAGCCGCATGTAAGCGCGTGTCAGGTTGAAGTAGCCGGACGTAAGGTAGACGGTGGCATCCTGGCCGGCCTCGGTCAGCAGCCTCACCGTGGCCTCCTCATCCAGGTGGATGCCCAGCGGCTTCATCTGCACCAGCGGGAACACCCAGGTGTCTCCGTGGGCCGCCGAGTCTGCATCTCGCTGATGGAGCCCTGCGGTGTCCACCACCTCCATAATTCTGCAGCGCGCTGAGGCGGAAAACTGGGCACGGTTACCTAGGGGAAGAGCAGAGTAAGCAGGAGTCAGGGGGGACTGCAGGAACAAGAGAGTTAGCAGGAGGGGGGCAGGGCCCAGGGTCTAAGGAACTACAAAAAATGCACAGGGGGAGGGGGAGTGGGCAGGGCCCAGGGTCTAAGGAACTATAAAAAATGCACAGGGGGAGTGGGCAGGGCCCAGGGTCTAAGGAACTACAAAAAATGCACAGGGGGAGGGGGCAGGGCCCAGGGTCTAAGGAACTACAAAAAATGCACAGGGGGAGTGGGCAGGGCCCAGGGTCTAAGGAACTACAAAAAATGCACAGGGGGAGGGGGCAGGGCCCAGGGTCTAAGGAACTACAAAAAATGCACAGGGGGAGTGGGCAGGGCCCAGGGTCTAAGGAACTACAAAAAATGCACAGGGGGAGGGGGCAGGGCCCAGGGTCTAAGGAACTACAAAAAATGCACAGGGGGAGTGGGCAGGGCCCAGGGTCTAAGGAACTACAAAAAATGCACAGGGGGAGGGGGCAGGGCC